CACATGCTGCACAGTAAATATTGGTTAGATGGATTATGAAAGATTCTGTCATATATAAATATATACAGTATATTTATAAAATGTGAGTCTTAAATTCCCTATCCTGGCAAAACTGAGAGATATATTTATGGCATGAGTCATATAATCCAGTGAAAACTTGCTGTTAACTGGTTTAGATTAAGGATTTCTTACAAATATTTGGATATCCAGACATGGTGGCGCACACTTGTAACCCCAGAAGTCAGGAGGCTAAGACAGGAGGATCGTTGTGAGTTTGAGACCAGCTTGGGCTACAAAGCGAGTGCAAGGCCAGCCTGAACTGCATAGTGAGACCCTGTCTCAAAAAGAAAAAATAAAAAAAAAACAAACCAACAAATATTTGGATAAAGGGTCCATGAGTGTGTGTATGACTGTGTGGGATATGGTTACTCTATCCTACGCTGAAGGTTAACACATAAACTCTACATGTAAGATCTTCTTTGTTGAGGTTAATTCAGCTACATTTGCTATTAATCAGTAAATTATTATCAGCTTCAACACATGGGTTATAGCTGAGTAGTTTGTTCCTACAGTGACAAAAAATGTAAACTTATTATAAGGAATGGATAATGAGTTAGAATTTCTTTCATAAAGAAAGTCCTTACCTCACAAAGCCAAAGTGTAGGCTCCTATCTATCATTAGCATACAGTATGAAACAAAGTTTTTACTCTTAAAAAAAATCACTTCCTCCCTTTCAACAATAAAGACCTATCCCAATATTGAAAATGTTTGATATACAGATTTTTGTCTTCACGTTTGTTTAGTTGAAAAGACAGAACTTCCCCCTAGTAGATCAGTTAATGAAGTAGAAATTATAAGGAAAAACATAATAAATGCTATAGAAGTATAAACAACATACTATACATATGGAATGTAATAGCAGGAAACAAAGTAAGTGAAAAATACTTATTAATGTTTTTCCAACTAACAAAAAAATTCTAGCACTTGAAGTACAAGGAAATCCTTATCCGTACTTTTGCTGCTACATAGAGGTGTTCTGGCCTAGCTGGATAAACCGGATGGTTTGTTTTAGATCAGCACTCTGAGTGATACACTATAGACGGAAACACAGTATTAACCCAGCACAATAGCTGTGCTCAAAGGGTCAGCAGCCACTCCATCCTGAACATCCAGTCAGTCACCACTGGGGAATAAGAATGCCATCCAAGTTTCCATATATTTAAACATTTTGTAATTTTAAAAAAATATACAAAAGAACTGTAGCTGCTAGGTTTTAATTCTGATTAGGGTTTTTCTGACCAAATGGCAGAATAAACTGAGTTCAGGAAGAAGACCAAAGATGGAGATGTGTTCATGATTTTTCCCTCTTCTTTTTTT